AAAAGGTACAATATTTACCTCTGAGATGTCGCGTAGTACAACTATTACATAGCAGAAAATGGAAATACTCAAACAGCTACCTCGAATTTGTACAAATACATTACTTGAGTAAATGTACTTTCAAATGTTTTCATTGACTAAAAATAAAAGGGATGAAGTTGATAAGTAGGACTAAAACTTTCATGGACTTTTGGTCTCAGAGCCATAACTAAAGTGAAAACTGGCTGACATAATTACAACCCGTCACCTTCCTTTACGAGTCAAACTTTGGGTTTGTTGACTTCCTGATCCAGCGGAGCTGCTTCAGCATCAGGCTGGTTGTACTGGGCAGCTCCCAGTCTCAGCCCAACCTTTACTGGATAAACAAAGGCGTATGAAAACAATAATACAATAATATTGATTTGAGGAAAGATGTCAGCTCTGAGCGTGATGCTGACAGTGATGCTGCTCTGTTTGTTTCAGCTGAACAAAGCAGAGAGCAGCAGCATCAGCTGGCTGATTAGCATGGAAAACAAAAGCACACACACTGCAGTCATTCTCTTTATTAACGTGCTGTTGTCTTGTTGTAATGACACCTAGACACAAACAGGAGGACGCTTTCTCACACTGTGACAATGACAGACAGCCGCACACACACAGGATTACACTGATATATGAGGCCGATAACAGGTTTTTACCCTGCCAGCTCTGATGGCTCTGACACTTTGGTCCAGAGTGAGACATCAACACAACCTGACAAAGACGGGACAAAGTTTACAGCTGGTACGTGACAGACTTCATTTCAGTTTTATGTTTTAGCCATTTGGTTATTGGAGCCACATTTTCATTGTGCCTTTTTCATCTCTTTGTCTTCTAAGTACTTTGGAAGGATTAATATACAACACATTCTCAGTCTGACCTCGTCACATTGACATTGGTCATGGACTTTCCACGTCCACATACGACATGCAAGGTACCCTGGGTGCATTGGTTGTTGACGTTCTGGGACATCCTGTCAAGCTCTGCCTGTTACATGCATTGTCTTCTGTTAACACATACTTCATAGGAAATTTACATTGGTACAACACCGCAAATTGACATTTTTTTTTCCTTCAACAACAATCACACGTGGTTAAGTTCAGTAAAAAAGAACAGGGTTTGGCTTTAGATTACGTTACAGATCAGAAGCACAGAGAGTTGTTGACTAGAGATGATACGCCGTCTCATGGTGGTCACTTCCTGTCAACGTTACAGATCAGAAGCACAGAGAGTTGTTGACTAGAGATGATACGCCGTCTCATGGTGGTCACTTCCTGTCAACGTTACAGATCAGAAGCACAGAGAGTTGTTGACTAGAGATGATACGCCGTCTCATGGTGGTCACTTCCTGTCAACGTTACAGATCAGAAGCACAGAGAGTTGTTGACTAGAGATGATACGCCGTCTCATGGTGGTCACTTCCTGTTTCAACTCGTCTTGTTGCGAATCTTTGGTCTGAACTTGGCGTTAGACAGCATGCTGGCGTTCCGGAAGCAATAGAGACTCGACCGTTGCCTTCCTCCTGTGTTTTTAAAGGAAATCAAGCCAATTTGCTCAAGTTTTAAAGGATTAAAAATCATCAATAAAATAAATACAAAATACAACCATTTATATTTATATGCCCCTCCCCTAACCCAAATTAAAAACATAAGTTCCTCCCTAGTGCTTAAAAATGTATTTGACACACCCCCTGTTTTTGCACCACCTCCTCCCCTCTCATAACTAACAAACAGTCCCTTACTGAATACAGCTGTAACAAACACTAATGTCTGAATGACAGAGAGCTGTTACCCTAACAGATGAATTATGTGATGTGTGATTCCACATCAGAAAAAATCTGAAGAGAGACAAGAAAAAATTAAAATGCAAAACAAATAAATAAGAAATGTTGTTTCTGACAGTAAATGTGTTTTCCTTTCGTCATCTCTTCACACAGACTCCTGCTGCGTTTGTGTAGGGGTGTGTGTGTGTGTGTGTGTGTGTGTGTGTGTGTGTGAATGTAAATGAAATAGCACCTTCACAACGTAAAGACACAACACTTGCATGGACTCTGATTACTGAGGTAAATACACAGCATGGGTGAGGTAACTCGCTGCACAGTGTGTGTGTGTGTGTGTGTGTGTGTGTGTGTCAGTGTGTATGTGTGTGTGTGTGTGTGTTGCAGTTGAAGGAGGGAACAAAGACAATGACAAATCTAGTTGAAGTCTCTCTCGCCGTGGGATTGTTTTAGTGGAGCAGGGGTTTGTGGGTAAACACTGATGCTGTTGGGAGTTAAATATGTTGTTAAAACACACTGAGAGATGTAGATTTATTGTGAAGCACCTTTTACACTCCCTCTTAAGGCGGGAATTTTACGCCACCTCACTGGGAATGAGTGTTCTCACCTTTAAAGAGGGATTTATGCTTATGCATCAGCTCTACACACGTGGCCTACACTTTTGTGAGCATTTATACTTGTGCAGTGGTGTGTCTGTGTCACGCTGCTGTTACACCTCCAAAACACTAGTCTGTGCTGGGGTTTCTGTGAAGTGCTGTAAAGTTTAGTTGATTCAAAACACACATTAAACACACATTAAACATGGCTTAATAGAGACAGTTTCAAACACAAGTACACAAATCAGCTTCACTATAACTCGCAGCATTCACAGACAAACACTTGTCTTTATCTGGATACATTTTCCCCACAAATACAACATGCTAACGTTATTAGCACAAGTCTATGGCATTTTACATTGTATAAATTAGCCTAGCAGCTAGCAGACTTTTCCTCTACTCATATGAAGCCAGGGACAACAGCAACATTTAACAAAGGTAACGTTACAAAATTCAGCTCCATTACAGCTCACAAGGTTCACTGACAAAACAACTGTCTTATACTAAACATGTTTTCCAAACAAATACAACATGCTAACGTTATTAGCACAAGTCTATGGCATTTTACATTGTATAAATTAGCCTAGTGACTCCTCTGCTCATATGAAGCCAGGATAAATCACACACAAGACTCAAAATGTTATTTTTGTGGAGGCTTTATTGTCTTCACAGTTTATTGTTTCTTATCTGTGAAGTTAAATCAAATAAATGTTTTGTTTCCACTGAGGGAAATGATTTCAACTTACAGAAACAGACAGTAGGTCTGCGTTGCCGCAACGTGTAGTTACATGTTTTTGGGGAGGTGTACGTCAGGCTACGGTGTAGGCTATGGCAGAGGGTACAGCATAGGGTACGGCAAAGAGTATAGGTGTAGGCTCTACTTGGACACAGATGTATAAATCCCACTTAAGCCAGCATGGGAGGTAATAACTGTTAGCTAGTAAATGTTAAATGTTGTGGAAATATCCTCTCAGTGCTGGTCGGAGGTTTGGAGGTTGTTTCGGGGCTTTAATGAATTAGGTTTGAACTCCTCCAGGAGACGCTGCCTCGGTGGTTTCTCTGTGTTTGTGGCTTTACAGGAACACAAAGATGTGAAAATGCCATCACATCATAATAATGACTTCATGTTAATGTGGCTTTCTGCAGAGATGTGATACATTTAATAAAACCAGCAGCAGCAGCAGCAGCAGCTGGACGTGACAGTTTCTCACATTGAGCTTCTCTTTCTGTAGGAACACAGATGTGAAAAAGACGACACGTCTACATGTTAAACTGGATTTAATGTGTCGATGACCACTGCATACAACTGGACTGCAATATTCATCTTTTACACATACAGCTGGATTCATTATCTGACTGCTGGAGGATCTCTTTTCCCAAAATGTTTTAGTTTATTTGTTACTTTTTTTTTTTTCATTGCTCTTTCTCTAAAAAAAAATCCCAATATGGATAACTTTTTATTTTAAATAAAAAGAGTTTAGTAAGTGACAAAAAGGTAAAAAAAAAAAAAAAAAAAAAGTAAATAAATAAAAAGTAAAAATATTAATGAAGATAATGAAAAAAAAACATTTTATCCTTTTAAATACTTTGAGTTAATAATACACTGAAATAATACATAAATAAATTAAAAAAATTAAGTCATTTAATAGAAGATAATAAAATCACATCAAAGTTTCCCAATCAGGACATCTTTTTCAATTTAAATAAAAAAACGTGACAGCAACAGTAAAGTAAGTGATAAAGAGTGGAAAAAAATCTGAGTGAAAATTATTTTAAAAACAATGTATTTTTAAAAAGTATAATTCAATATTACACTGAAATAACACATGAATAAATTAAAAAAATATTTCTAATTTAATTAATAATAAATTAAACAATGTATTCATGAAAAAGATTTAATGATACGTTGATATAATACATTAATAAATTAAATAAGTTACTTAGAATTTAATTGATTTAATGGAAGATCACAAAGTACAGTAAACAAAATCACATCAAAGAAAGTTTCTTAATTAAGACAAATTTCTGAATCATGACAGTGCAGCTTTAGTGACAACAGAACAATTTACACACAATTTATTTTTTAAAAAATCAATTAAATCATACACTGGTAGCTGGAGAGGTGCCAGTTGGCCTCCTTGACACTGCCAAGGCTCCCTTGAGCAAGGCACCGAACCCCCAACTGCTCAGAGCACCTGTTCATGGGCATTCCCCTCACTCTGACATCTCTCCATTTAATGCATGTATGCAGTAGGTCCTGTTTTTGCATGTGTCCATCTCAGCCTGGCGCTGTGCCTCAGAATAAGTTGCATCAACAAAAATTTAGAATATCAATCAAATTAAAGAAAAAAAAGTGCTCTTTATTATTTAAGATGCAACAGAGTTTTTAGCTTAATTTTAATACCAAAAATTAGTTTTCCATTTCATTGTTTGGGAAATTCTCATCTCTGTTAATAAGATGTTGAGTCCTTCACTTTAATGTTAATACTGAAACACAAGTCCTCAGTTTTTATTCCCTTCAAGGGTCCAAATATTATTTTTGGAAGGAACAATGTCGCGGAGGCCTTTCAAGATTCACCGGATATTTTAATTCCTTCCCTGCCTCTCTCTTGTCCTCTTCTCACCCAGATGAAAAACTGGAGGCAACAACGATGACGGCGATGGCAGTATGACACGTTCCCTCGCCCAGCAATAAATCTCTCAGCTGTGTAACACGATCCCGGCGGTGTGATACCTGCTCCAACTCAAATACAGACCTGTTGTCTGAGACCGAGGATGAACACAGGAATAACTGGCCTGGACAGACAAACTGCTGTCTGTGTTTGTTTGAGACGCTGACAGAGTGCTGAATCACTGAGGAGGAAGAAGTAAGAAGACAACCAACATTTTGTCTGCTTGACACTTCAACACAACATGTCACAACATGACGACAAACACAGAGACAGAACTACAACCAAGTCAGTTACCACTTTATTAGGTACCTAGCTAAAACTACTGCAGTCTAACACAACGGTCCTGTGCTTTACAGTTTCATTCTTTTGGTCACTTCTCAAAGTTCATGAGCATAGGTAAAGGTCTGAATGGCAAATCAAGAGCTTCGCAATCCGCATTCTTTATGTTAACAGACCGGCACAGCGCCAAAAACACTGCTGATGCTGCACCAGTCCTCCTGTCCATCTCACACTCCATGTTACCCTCACTCGTGAAAAAGACCTTGGCCCATGGCCTAAGACTTGTAGTTACTGACACTCATCCGACCCTCTTCACACACAGCTTCAAAATAGCCCCAGGAGTGCATGATGAAGCGATCAGAACCACATCATCTGCATAGAGTAGATATTCTGATGCCCCCAAACCAGACACTCTCCTCTTCCTGGCTGCATCCTGAGATCCTGTCCATATCAAAAACATAATCAGTGACAAGGGACAACCCTGGCAGAGGCCGACACCCACTGAAAATGTATTTGACTTTGTACCAAATAGACACAGCTTGTACATTGGTTATACAAGGACAAGATGACTCATAGCAACAGCCCCAGTACCTCTTAATCCCACAGTAGCCCTTATGTTGTGTTCACACCATGTCATTCATGTCGCGTATTCCTAGAGTTTGAACACAAGAATACTTTGTGTTGACTTGCTACATACCCGCAAATAACTCATGTCATACTTGGGTGAAGTCACTGAATCAATGAATGAACTTCGGCTGGTACATGTCGGCACAAATCGGTTACTGAAGTTCAGATTTAACAACTCTAGTGAAAAAGCGTATGACACGAAATCACGCTATTCATTTAATTCGCGTATTTCGCATCATTCGTGTCACATCCATCACGCCAACCAGCAGGAATTCGCGTCTAATCGCATCTTTACATTGACTTTACATGTAATGCTCTCATGCAAATTGTGTTATTCACACCTTGTGTGAATACAACATTACAGCACTTTTAGAAGGACTTCTCCATGTCCACAAAGCACATGTAGTGGGGATCGGCAAACTGTGTAAGAAGATGCCACTGGGTCCGCATTGAATATCTCTCAAATATCCAACTTAAAACAAACTTTTGCAAGATGTGGCAGCTTTCTTTCAAAAACATGGGAAAAAGGAAATCAGCAATTTAACAAGAAGTGGCTGAGAAATAAGAAGAAATACGAAGAAATAACTTAAAGTTAAAGAAAATTCCCTGAAAATAAGCAGAAAAAGAGAAGTTAAAAAAAAAACAAGCAAATGACCTGAAAAAGTGCAAAAAAATAATAAACATATATTTACTATTTCTATATTATTGTTTAAACATGTAGCTAAATATATTTTACAATAATATTAAATAATTGACATAGTTTTTTAAAAGAAATTCATGCTGAACTTTCCAAGGCTTAAATGCTGTTGAAAGGTGTCCCAATTTTAAAAGGGACTGGTTTAAAAGGGTTAAACGTCACAAGGTTATGAGTTCTAAATTTGTTTTGCACTGTGTTAGATAATGGATCTCTGTGTGTGTGTGTCAGTTGCGTGAGTTTACTTGATGATCAATGTGTGAGTTGGCAGCTGTACCAAGTATCATGCACTGGTGCATGCAGAGCTGTGAATTGCGAGCTCAAAGTTTTTGTGCAGTAAAGCAAAACTACTTATCAAACATTTTAAAGAAGAGATGTGACTGTGTTTATTGTTGTCTTAGTAAGGTTCATGATAGAAATACACAAGTACACAGACACACAGTGAGGGAGTTCGTTGTTTGATGATGATGATGATGTTGACGATGATGATGATGATGATGGTGGTGGTGTTTTCTAGTGTCACTCCCTGCTCTCCAAAATGAACCACTCCCAGACCCACAACAGCATGCACACCTGAGGACAGGTGAGACTTTGACCATTATATTCACCCTGTGTTGCTGAGTTTTTGGCACCACAAATGTGTTGGGTTGTTACAACCCGTGTTGCTACAAAATTGTTGTGACAGACTATGATATGACCTTTTTGAATTTTTTGGCATTATTCTGCATTATTCTATGTTAACTTTTTATGGCATACTACTTTATACCTTTATAATGAAATTCTTCTGTCATACTATACAGTGATTTTTACTGTGATTTTCATTTTGGACTGACTTTACTTGCTATGATTGTGTTTTACGTTTTTGTGGTAAATTATATTATGAGATTAAAGATTAAATTTTTGTGACATACTACACTATGACTGAAAGTTCAAGACGTAGTATACAATTACTATTTTACAAAGATTCGATGACATACTATACTTTGACATTTATAATGACGTTATTGACGACATACTAAACTTTGATGTTTTTTTGACGTTTATGACGACATATTATACTTTGACAAATTTTTCACATTTTTGACGACATACTATACAATGACATTTTTCATGACATTTTGACTACATACTATACTATGACAAATTTTTCACAATTTGACAACATACTATACTATGATGATTTTTATAATATCTTTGATGACATACTAGCTATACCATGACAAATTTTTAACGACATAGCATACTATGACATTTTTCTGACATTTTTGATGACATACTATACTATGACGTTTTTCATGACGTTTTGACTACATACTATACTATGGCAAATTTAACACATTTTTGATGACACACTATACTATGATGTTTTCCATAACATTTTTGACGACACACTATACTATGACGTTTTTCATAACATTTTTGACGACATTTTATAGTAGTATATTTTTCTGACACTTTTGATGGCATACTGCACTGTGACGTTTTTCATGACATTTTGACGACATACTATACTATGACAAATTTTTCACAATTTGACGACATACTATACTATGATGATTTTTATAATATCTTTGATGACATACTATACTTTGACGTTTTTCATGACGTTTTGACTACATACTATACTATGGCAAATTTAACACATTTTTGACAACATACTATACTATGATGATTTTTATATCTTTGACGACATACTATACTGTGACAAATTCTTGACGACATAGCATACTATGATATTTTTATGACATTTCTGATGACATATTATACTATGACATATTTTTTCATGTTTTTGACGACATACGATGCTGTGATGTTTTTTTATACCATTTTTGACAACATTTCATACTAGTACATTTTTCCAACACTTTTGATGGCATACTGCACTGACGTTTTTGATGACATTTTTGATGACATACTATACTATGACGTTTTTCATGATGTTTTGACTACATACTATACTATGGCAAATTTAACACATTTTTGATGACATACTATACTATCATGTTTTCCATAACATTTTTGACAACACACTATACTATGACGTTTTTCGTGACGTATTGACGACATATTATACTATGACAAATTTTTCACATTTTTGACGACATACCATACTATGACAAATTTTTCACATTTTTGATAACATACTATACTATGATGATTTTTATATATCTTTGACGACATATTATACTATGACAAATTTTTCACATTTTTGATGACATGCTATCCTATGATGATTTTTATATATCTTTGACGACATATTATACTATGACAAATTTTTCACATTTTTGATGACATGCTATCCTATGATGATTTTCATGATGTTTTGACTACATACTATACTATAACAAATTTTTCACGTTTTTGACGACATACTATGCTATGATGTTTTTTATACCATTTTTTATACTAGTACATTTTTCTGACACTTTTGATGGCATACTGCACTGTGACGTTTTTGATGACATTTTTGATGACATACTATACTATGACAAATTTTTCACATTTTTGATGACATACTATACTATGATGATTTTTATATCTTTGACGATATACTATACTATGACAAATTTTTGACGACATAGCATACTATGACATTTTTGATGACATATTATACTATGACAAATTTTTTCACGTTTTGATGACATACTATGCTATGATGTTTTTTATACCATTTTTGACAACATTTTATACTAGTACATTTTTCTGACATTTTGATGGCATACTGCACTGTGACGTTTTTGATGACATTTTTGATGACATACTATACTATGACAAATTTTTGACGACATACTATACTATGACATATTTATGACAGTTTTGACGACATACTATACTATGACAAATGTTTCACATTTTTGACAATATCTATACTATGATGGTTTTATAACATTCTTGACGACATACTATAGTATGATTTTTTTTTGATGATTGGACGACATACTATATTATGACTTGTTTCATGACATTTTAATACATTCTGTATTATAACTTAATGATTCTTTTAGGACACTACTGCTGCCGATGATGATGATGATGATGATGATGATGATGACGACGACGACGACAGTGGTGGTGGTGATGATGACGATGACATTTTCCAGTCTTGCTTCCTCTTCTCCAAAGTGAACCTCTCCCAGACCCACAACAACGTACACCTGGGGATATGTTAAACTTTGACCAATGGAATAACTGTGTTGCTACGAGATGTGTTGTGTTGCTAAGACAGGTGATCGAAATACACGTTGCTATGAGACATGTTGCTATGAGAATTTTTTCTACATTATGTGTTGCCATGAGATGCCATGCAGGTGTTTATGGATCACCTGAATAAACTGGCCTCAACCTCACCTGACCCCTCACCTGACCACTCTGTGTTTATTATTTTGTTTTGCATTTGGTTCCCATGACAACCAGTTGACCATTTCATGAACAGGCCAGCACAGCCCGTCAACCTCCAAGCCTCAGCCAATCAGCAGCGGGATCAGAAGAACCAATTGTGACACGTTAAACATCCTGTTAGCTTATCCTTGTGTGAAGACTGAGGCCTGCTGCTGTGACACGTTTGTTTCTGATGTTTTTAAAATCTTGAAACAATAATTATTATGTTCTTTCAGTGTCTTCTACATCATTATTTCATCCCTCAGTCAGCCGCAGTGAGTGATATAAGTCCCAATAATCTCTTCTGAACAGCTGTAGTCATGACAAACAAAAATAAAAAACACATCAAAGAAACAAATGTCTTGTGGAAACTTGGACTGATTTTGAAGCATCACAGTATTTATTTTTTAACCTTCATGTTGTCGTTGGTGTTTTGTGATGATTAACATGTTTCAGCATTTGTACTCAGCATTAATAACTAATCAAATTTATTGGAAGATTCTCCAGTTGATTCTGAGAGATGCTATTAATTTTGTGATCACAGTGATGTTTGTTCATGATTCTCCTTACATTACAATTCTGGAATAAGAGTGTGAAGAGAACTCATCCCATGACTTTATACGCAGTCTTGGTTGTTGTTGACTGTTGTTGAACACTGAATGTCCCACAGGAAAAAGACTGATTCATGTTTTCATTGAGATATGACATTGTGTCTTTATTGTCATGTTTCTAATAAAGTTCTGGTTGGGACGCACTTCAATGTGATTGTGTTATTTCCTACTTAAACAAGCAGATAATTTTAAACAACATACTAAACTATGACGTTTTTATGATGATAATGACATCATACTATACTATAATGACTTTTTGACAATATACTATACTATGATGATTTTTTGACGATTTTGACAACATACTATACTGTGATGATTTTTTAACATTTTTGACGACATACTATACTATGACAATTTTTTACGTTTTTGACGACATACTATACTATGATGATTTTTTGAAGTTTTTGACGACATACTAAACTATGATGTTTTTATGATGATAATGATGACATACTATACAATAATGACTTTTTGATGTTTTTAACAACATACTATACTATGATGATTTTTTGACGTTTTTGTCGACATACTATACTATGACGATTTTTTGACAATTTTGATGACATACTATACTATGATGATTTTTTAACATTTTTGATGACATACTATACTATAATGACTTTTTGATGTTTTTAACGACATGCTATACTATGATGATTTTTTGAAGTTTTTGTCAACATGCTATACTATAATGACTTTTTGATGTTTTTAACGACATACTATACTATGATGATTTTTTTGACGTTTTTGACAACATACTATGATGATTTAATGACGATTTTGATGATATGCTACACTATGATGATTTAATGACGATTTTGACGACATACTATACTATGATGATTTTTTAACATTTTTGATGACATACTATACTATGATGATTTTTTGACGATTTTGACGACATACTATACTATGATGATTTTTTGACGTTTTTGACGACATACTATACTATGATGAATTTTGGAGTTTTGGACGACATACTATACTATGATGATTTTTTAACATTTCTGACGACATACTATACTATGATGATTTTTTGACGATTTTGACGACATACTATACTATGATGATTTTTT